ACTTTATGAACTTCTTTACTTGCAAGATTGATAATATGACTTACTATGAAAAACTATGCAACCGTCTACTACAGTATCGCATCAGACAGTGCATTGTAGTCTCCCTGAGGAAAAATTCCATTCATTCATTGCTATAGGAGAGGAAGAATCTTCTAAACTCGTTAAATCATCTAAATCGACAACTTGTATGTTAGACCCTATACCGACTAAGCTACTGAAAGAGATGCTTCCAGAAGTCATAGATCCTCTTCTCAATATCATTAATTCATCTTTGTCATTAGGATATGTACCAAAAATTAAAAGGATATGTACCAAAAACACTTATTAAAAAACACATCTTGATCCTAGAGAATTAGTCAATTACAGGCCGATCTCGAATCTACCTTTTCTGTCAAAGATACTAGAAAAGGCAGTATCCTCACAACTATGTTCCTTTTTAGAAAGAAATGATATCTGCAAGGATTTCCAGTCCGGATTCAGACCGTACCATAGTCCTGAGACAGCTCTCGTTAGAGTCACAAATGATTTGCTCTTATCATCCGATCGTGGTTGTATCTCTCTGCTCCTTCACTGTTTTCACTGTTACGCTGATGATACTCAGCTCTACACTTCGCTCACCGACGAAACTTACCAATTAAAAAAATTAAAGGAATGCATAGCTGATATAAAAAATTGGATGACTAGTAATTTCCTACTACTTAATTCTGAAAAAAACAGAGTTTCTAATTATTGGGCAAAAAAACTCTGCATGTAGTAACCTAGAATACTGTCTAACACTTGATGGCTGCTCTGTTAAGTCTCCGTCGTCGGTTAGGAACCTGGGTGTGCTCTTTGATACCAATCTTTCATTTGAAAGTCACGTGTCTATTATCTGTAAAACCGCATTCTTCCATCTTAAAAATATCTAAATTACGTCGTATGCTCTCATTGACGAATGTGGAACAGTTAGTTCATGCGTTCATGACATCAAGGCTAGATTATTGTAATGCTCTACTGGGTGGTTGCCCTGCACGCTTAATAAACAAACTACAGCTAGTCCAAAACACAGCAGCTCGAGTTCTTACCAGAACCAGGAAGTATGACCATATTATTCCGGTTCTGTCAACACTGCATTGGCTCCCTATTAAACATCGTATACATTTTTAAATATTATTAATTACTTACAAAGCACTAAATGGTTTAGCTCCCCAGTACTTGAGCGAGCTCTTAACGCATTATAGTCCTTCTGGCCAATTGATAATACCTAGAATATTAAAATCGACTGCTGGCGGTAGATCCTTTTCCTTTTTAGCACCTAAACTCTGGAACAGTCTTCCTAACATGGTTCGAGAAACAGAAACACTCTGTCAGTTTAAATCTAAAATCTAAAATCTAAAAACACATCTCTTTACAGGGCTCTCAAGTGTCATGCATTAAGCATGACAGTCACTCATTTCGTTCTTTTGTCACGCACTCCCGCCACACATTGTATTTCTCATGCCCAAAATGTCTTTGGCCGCGCCGCTCTCACTATGGAACCGGCAGGAATCAAGCGCGTCTCCCCTGGAGTTCTTAGTCGAGCCTGCCACTTATCAGCCAGTCAAAAAAAAGAAAGGGGCTACACAATAGCCAATCAGAAAAGAGCACTATTGTATCTGGGTAAGATTTAATGCAACAACTAATGAAAAAAAAGCATATGCTGAAATTGTTCACGTGATTCTGCTACTAAGTTTCGTTCACCCACAGAGGAAACCACTGGAGCTCCGTGCATCACTTTGAGCACAGAGTAAGTCATGATCTCCTGTTTTAATGTTACAACAAATTCACAACTTGTTTGACACAAACAGTGACAACTTGACTGCTGTTAGAGAATGATTCCCAGATAATTAGCATCAGTTTTTCATGAGTGTCTGTAACTTAGCCAACAGTTTTACAGCCTGTTCACTGACAACACCTGCTCAGAACAAGTAGTCTAGGCCTAGTCATATTTTTGTTATCACACGATGACTGACATATTGTCACATTATAAACATCTCTCTCTCCAAATAGGCTTAATAATTTTATTAGCACTAAATAAATTAAAGTGTATTGCATAGTCGATGTAATAGATCACTTTTAAAATCATGTCATATTTTATAATTATATCCTGGCCATGGATGCATTAATCATTGCATCTGTCTTTGCAAAATGTCAGGTAAAAAGCAATTAAGCATCCTATCATTCGCCCTGAGAGGAAAGCCCCTGATAAGGCCAGGCTAGAGGATGCTGGCCCAGAGAAGGTGGCGACAAGGGTAGGCCCATTAGAGGAGGAGACAGAGGAGAAGACAGACGAGGAAACATAACAGAGGGGGAGACAGAGGAGGAGACAGAACAGAGGAGGAGACAGAGGAGCAGACAGAGGAGGAGACAGAGGAGCTGACAGAGGAGGAGATAGAGGAGGAGACCGAGGAGGAGGCAGAGGAGGAGGCAGAGGAGGAGGCAGAGGAGGAGACAGAGGAGAAGACAGAGGAGGAGACAGAGGAGCAGACAGAGGAGGAGACAGACGAGGAAACAGAGACAGGGGAGGAGGCAGAGGAGGAGACAGAGGAGTAGACAGAGACAGAGGAGGAGGCAGAGGAGGAGACAGAGACAGAGGAGGAGGCAGATGAGGAGACAGAGGAGGAGACAGAGGAGGAGACAGACGAGGAGACAGAGGAGGAGACAGAGGAGGAGACAGAGGAGGAGACAGAGGAGACAGAGGAGGAGACAGACGAGGAGACAGAGGAGCAGACAGACGAGGAGACAGAGGAGGAGACAGAGGAGACAGAGGAGGAGACAGACGAGGAGACAGAGGAGCAGACAGACGAGGAGACAGAGGAGGAGACAGAGGAGGAGACAGAGGAGACAGAGGAGGAGACAGACGAGGAGACAGAGGAGGAGACAGAGGAGACAGAGGAGGAGACAGAGGAGGAGACAGAGGAGCAGACAGACGAGGAGACAGAGGAGGAGACAGACGAAGAGGCAGAGGAGGAGACAGAGGAGCAGACAGAGGAGGAGACAGAGGAGTAGACAGAGGAGACAGAGGAGGAGACAGAGGAGCAGACAGACGAGGAGACAGAGGAGGAGACAGAGGAGGAGACAGACGAGGAGACAGAGGAGCAGACAGAGGAGGAGACAGAGGAGCAGACAGACGAGGAGACAGAGGAGGAGACAGAGGAGGAGACAGAGGAGCAGACAGAGGAGCAGACAGACGAGGAGACAGAGGAGGAGGCAGAGGAGGAGACAGAGGAGGAGACAGAGGAGGAGACAGAGGAGACAGAGGAGGAGACAGACGAGGAGACAGAGGAGCAGACAGACGAGGAGACAGAGGAGGAGACAGAGGAGACAGAGGAGACAGAGGAGACAGAGGAGACAGACGAGGAGACAGAGGAGCAGACAGACGAGGAGACAGAGGAGGAGACAGAGGAGGAGACAGAGGAGACAGAGGAGACAGAGGAGGAGACAGACGAGGAGACAGAGGAGGAGACAGAGGAGGAGACAGACGAGGAGACAGAGGAGCAGACAGAGGAGGAGACAGAGGAGCAGACAGACGAGGAGACAGAGGAGGAGACAGAGGAGACAGAGGAGGAGACAGACGAGGAGACAGAGGAGCAGACAGACGAGGAGACAGAGGAGGAGACAGAGGAGGAGACAGAGGAGCAGACAGAGGAGCAGACAGAGGAGGAGACAGAGGAGCAGACAGACGAGGAGACAGAGGAGCAGACAGAGGAGCAGACAGAGGAGCAGACAGAGGAGGAGACAGAGGAGCAGACAGACGAGGAGACAGAGGAGCAGACAGAGGAGGAGACAGAGGAGGAGACAGAGGAGCAGACAGACGAGGAGACAGAGGAGCAGACAGAGGAGGAGACAGAGGAGCAGACAGACGAGGAGACAGAGGAGCAGACAGACGAGGAGACAGAGGAGGAGACAGACGAGGATACAGAGGAGCAGACAGACGAGGAGACAGAGGAGCAGACAGAGGAGCAGACAGCGGAGCAGACAGACGAGGAGACAGAGGAGCAGACAGAGGAGCAGACAGAGGAGGAGACAGAGGAGCAGACAGAGGAGCAGACAGAGGAGGAGACAGAGGAGCAGACAGACGAGGAAACAGAGGAGGAGACAGACGAGGATACAGAGGAGCAGACAGCGGAGCAGACAGAGGAGGAGACAGAGGAGGAGACAGACGAGGATACAGAGGAGCAGACAGCGGAGCAGACAGACGAGGATACAGAGGAGCAGACAGCGGAGCAGACAGACGAGGATACAGAGGAGCAGACAGAGGAGCAGACAGACGAGGAGACAGAGGAGGAGACAGAGGAGACAGAGGAGACAGAGGAGGAGACAGACGAGGAGACAGAGGAGCAGACAGACGAGGAGACAGAGGAGGAGACAGAGGAGGAGACAGAGGAGCAGACAGAGGAGCAGACAGAGGAGGAGACAGAGGAGCAGACAGACGAGGAGACAGAGGAGGAGACAGAGGAGCAGACAGAGGAGCAGACAGGAGGAGACAGAGGAGCAGACAGAGGAGCAGACAGAGGAGGAGACAGAGGAGCAGACAGAGGAGGAGGCAGAGGAGCAGACAGAGGAGGAGACAGAGGAGGAGACAGAGGAGGAGACAGAGGAGTAGACAGAGGAGGAGACAGAGGAGCAGACAGAGGAGCAGACAGAGGAGGAGACAGAGGAGGAGACAGAGGAGCAGACAGAGGAGGAGGCAGAGGAGCAGACAGAGGAGGAGACAGAGGAGTAGACAGAGGAGGAGACAGAGGAGGAGACAGAGGAGCAGACAGACGAGGAGACAGAGGAGCAGACAGAGGAGGAGACAGAGGAGGAGACAGAGGAGGAGGCAGAGGAGGAGACAGAGGAGGAGACAGAGGAGCAGACAGAGGAGGAGGCAGAGGAGCAGACAGAGGAGGAGACAGAGGAGTAGACAGAGGAGGAGACAGAGGAGGAGACAGAGGAGCAGACAGACGAGGAGACAGAGGAGCAGACAGAGGAGCAGACAGAGGAGGAGACAGAGGAGCAGACAGAGGAGGAGACAGAGGAGCAGACAGAGGAGGAGACAGAGGAGTAGACAGGAGGAGACAGAGGAGGAGACAGAGGAGGAGACAGAGGAGCAGACAGAGGAGGAGACAGAGGAGCAGACAGAGGAGGAGGCAGAGGAGCAGACAGAGGAGGAGACAGAGGAGTAGACAGAGGAGGAGACAGAGGAGGAGACAGAGGAGGAGACAGAGGAGCAGACAGAGGAGGAGACAGAGGAGCAGACAGAGGAGCAGACAGAGGAGGAGACGGAGGAGACAGAGGAGGAGACAGAGGAGCAGACAGAGGAGGAGACAGAGGAGTAGACAGAGGAGGAGACAGAGGAGGAGACAGAGGAGCAGACAGACGAGGAGACAGAGGAGGAGACAGACGAGGATACAGAGGAGCAGACAGAGGAGGAGACAGAGGAGGAGACAGAGGAGCAGACAGAGGAGGAGACAGAGGAGCAGACAGAGGAGGAGACAGAGGAGGAGACAGAGGAGCAGACAGAGGAGGAGACAGAGGAGGAGACAGACGAGGATACAGAGGAGCAGACAGAGGAGGAGACAGAGGAGCAGACAGAGGAGGAGACAGAGGAGCAGACAGAGGAGCAGACAGAGGAGGAGACGGAGGAGACAGAGGAGGAGACAGAGGAGCAGACAGAGGAGGAGACAGAGGAGTAGACAGAGGAGGAGACAGAGGAGGAGACAGAGGAGCAGACAGACGAGGAGACAGAGGAGGAGACAGACGAGGATACAGAGGAGCAGACAGAGGAGGAGACAGAGGAGGAGACAGAGGAGCAGACAGAGGAGGAGACAGAGGAGCAGACAGAGGAGCAGACAGACGAGGAGACAGAGGAGCAGACAGAGGAGGAGACAGAGGAGGAGACAGACGAGGATACAGAGGAGCAGACAGAGGAGGAGACAGAGGAGCAGACAGAGGAGGAGACAGAGGAGCAGACAGAGGAGCAGACAGAGGAGGAGACGGAGGAGACAGAGGAGGAGACAGAGGAGCAGACAGAGGAGGAGACAGAGGAGTAGACAGAGGAGGAGACAGAGGAGGAGACAGAGGAGCAGACAGACGAGGAGACAGAGGAGGAGACAGACGAGGATACAGAGTAGCAGACAGCGGAAGAGACAGAGGAGGAGACAGAGGAGACAGAGGAGACAGAGGAGACAGAGGAGGAGACAGACGAGGATACAGAGGAGCAGACAGCGGAAGAGACAGAGGAGGAGACGGTGCAGGTGGAAGAGGAAAAGACGGTGGAAAAATCTTTTCCTCTGCAAGTCTGAGCAATTATTAAACACTAATAATAATATTTTTTTATTACACTCTTGCCTGTCTTCAAAACTTGAGAGCCCTGTCTTTAACCCGGTATTTACACAACGCATCCCTGAATGTCAGCAGAGACCGTGTCAACCATCATCCCCTGTGAAGGCCTCATCGCCACGACAAAAGTGTCTTTCTTTTTTTCACGACAAACATTTTTTTTTTCTCTGTACAGATGAAAATGTTATCAAAATGATTCCTGTTCACACGAATCTGCAGAAATGAATAAAAACGCTGTATTATGCATGCCAGACAAGTTATTGGTGATGTCACTTAGTAAAGAAAGACTACGAGTCTACACACATACGCATTCAAACGCACATGCCTATAGACTAAACACATAGTGAGCATCTGCACACCGTCACCGTTTACACAGATTCACGTTTTTAAAGTTTACACATAGATGATAACGGTATTGTGTATTGTTTTCAAAACTCGTTTAAAAAAATATATATTTAAAAGTTTGCGTTCTCAGGCCATCAAAACGCCGCTGTCGTTTAAATGAACAGCCAGAACGCAATAAAAGTGTTCTGTTTTCTGATTTTTACAACAGAAATGAATCAATCAAAAACTCACTTAAACTGTACAGTGACTCCTCTAGAGCTGCTGTACAGCCGAAACAATCTTTGTTCCATTAATTTCGTGTTATCACTGTAAAGCTTCTTTGAATGAATCTGTATTGTATAAAGCTCTATATAAATGAAGGTGACTTGACTTGAACAAGTTGATAACAAAAATAAAACATAATCTGCTGTATAATCTTACAGATGGGGCTAACACAAATCAATTTAGGATTTGTAATATTATCATGCATGCTCAATTTATAAAAGCAAAATGAAACCATTTATTTTACATGTTTTTGTATCCTACATCTGTTCTCTGATAGCGGATTCTTTGCAAAGTTTGCATAGTCATGATTGTTTCATATGTTTTCTAAAAACAAACATCTAATAACCTACTGTATAAGCAACACTGGACAGTTGGACAGATTAATATGATTTCTCACTATTTGTGAACATGGCTGAAATTAAATATTTTCTTTCATCTGTATCTGGGTATCTCTGCGGTGAAACTGTCTCTGTGATGGTGATGTGTGTCGCTCATCAAAGATTCATTCATTGCGCTGATCATACTCATAATTTACCTTTGGCTGCATTATAATAACTTCCTAATTTGGAATATGATCAAAGATTGTGTGGACATGTTCTGAGAAATTAGCTTCTGAAAAATGACATTTTAACTCCACTCAAATGAACAAAATGACTCAGAAAATGTAATTTTGCTAAACGAAATTCAAAGTCATCAAATCAGGTCAGTAAAATGATGTGATCTATCTCTGCTGCGTCTGGGTAAAATGACACACAACACAGCTTGTGTAGAGAACTTATTTGAGGTATAATCAAGCGCGTAGCTTAATAGCCTGCATAAAACTCTGAGACAGATTGACGAATCATTTATGAACGGCCATCACTGCTACTCGCGTGCCATCACCCTATAAAAATCATTCTGAATGTAGAAGAACAGCAGAGTCCATGCCACAAGTATGACAATAACAGCACAGAGAAACAATATCATTGGAATCACTTTCAGAACGATTATTTCCAGCTGAATATGGATACTTTATTGGCAGTTTTTATACAACACTTCATCATCAATGACACAACTGCCATTTCATCTATTTCTTGAACTAGTAATGGAAGTAAATGAACAGCTCTTGGCTGGGTTTGCACTGAAGCTTAGCAGGGTTGAGTCTGGTCAGTAGCTGGATGGGAAACATTCTCTGCAATCTCACAGTTCAAGGCCTGCTGTATAAAAAAACTAAAACGCCAACCTTTGGACAATATGTGCCCTTGCACCATACACACCTGAGATATCAGCAGCACGTGGATGGAGTTTATCTAGGACTGTCAATAATGTATGGAGTGCTAATACACCTGACCGTCTCTGTTCATTTGGAAACAATCTACTCCAGCCTACAGCGTCCATTCCATTATACACTCTCAAACACACACACACCAGTCTAACAGTGCTGTCAACACAAGTGTTTCCGGCTGTCAGGCTGAACACTGCTGACTGCAGTGCTAAAGACACACGACTATCAGGACTATATGTATAGTGTGTGACTATATGAGATTCAGTGACTCTAATAATACACTGGGGATGAAACGCAACATCAAAGCCCCGCCCCTCTGCTCCCTGCAGCCAATCCCTGTGCTCTCTGAACCTGTCAGATGACCCCGCCCCTTCTCCAACCCAGCATCCCGCATCCCGTCTGATCCCAGAGACCCGCTGACTCTCCCCTGATGGAAGTTACCTTTACATTTATTAATTTAGCAGACGCTTTATCAAAAATAACTAACAAATGAGGAACATCACAAGCAAGGTTGAGCAGTCAGCACAAGCGGATATATGGGATAAAGATACGGTCACCTGCTGAAACACCTCTTACACATCTTCATGAGTCCAAACATCGAAAACAAATGGCAAAAGGAGCACTGAAGGACATTTAGTCATCGTCATTTGGAATAAATGGAATAATTTTGTTTAAATATCACTTCACAAAGAACAGCTCAGATCATCATGGATTTCCATGGTTGGTTCCATACGTTTCATTGGTTTCAAATTGTGATAAATATTCCTTTAGCAATGTTTGGTACAGACAGGGGAAATATGAGACACTGTCAAAGTTGCTAATTAAACGTGCAAAACATTGGAATATTGAGTTTCCATCCCATGTGTTCGAGAGAACAGAATAGTCACTTCTGTGAAACTGCAAGGTGCAAAGGAAATAAAAGTTCGAAGGCTGTGACTTTTTACCCTACATAATAAATGACTTGCAATAAATTAAAATTAAACTAAATTACTGTTCGGAGGAGGATGCCTGCTGGGAGGGCATTACACCAAATCATTCTGATGACAGCATTTCAGACGACTAAAGCAATATTTCAGATGACTAAAACAATATTTCAGACGACTAAAACAATATTTCAGATGACTAAAACAATATTTCAGACGACTAAAACAATATTTCAGACGACTAAAACAATATTTCAGACGACTAAAACAATATTTCAGATGACTAAAACAATATTTCAGATGACTAAAACCATATTTCAGACGACTAAAACAATATTTCAGATGACTAAAACAATATTTCAGATGACTAAAACAATATTTCAGATGACTAAAACAATATTTCAGATGACTAAAACCATATTTCAGACGACTAAAACCATATTTCAGACGACTAAAACAATATTTCAGATGACTAAAACAATATTTCAGATGACTAAAACAATATTTCAGATGACTAAAACAATATTTCAGATGACTAAAACAATATTTCAGATGACTAAAACAATATTTCAGATGACTAAAACAATATTTCAGACGACTAAAACAATATTTCAGATGACTAAAACAATATTTCAGACGACTAAAACAATATTTCAGATGACTAAAACAATATTTCAGACGACTAAAACAATATTTCAGATGACTAAAACAATATTTCAGATGACTAAAACAATATTTCAGACGACTAAAACAATATTTCAGACGACTAAAACAATATTTCAGACGACTAAAACAATATTTCAGATGACTAAAACAATATTTCAGACGACTAAAACAATATTTCAGATGACTAAAACAATATTTCAGACGACTAAAACAATATTTCAGACGACTAAAACAATATTTCAGACGACTAAAACAATATTTCAGATGACTAAAACAATATTTCAGATGACTAAAACAATATTTCAGATGACTAAAACAATATTTCAGATGACTAAAACAATATTTCAGATGACTAAAACAATATTTCAGAACAATATTTCAGATGACTAAAACAATATTTCAGATGACTAAAACAATATTTCAGACGACTAAAACAATATTTCAGACGACTAAAACAATATTTCAGATGACTAAAACAATATTTCAGATGACTAAAACCATATTTCAGACGACTAAAACAATATTTCAGATGACTAAAACAATATTTCAGATGACTAAAACAATATTTCAGATGACTAAAACAATATTTCAGATGACTAAAACAATATTTCAGACGACTAAAACAATATTTCAGACGACTAAAACAATATTTCAGATGACTAAAACAATATTTCAGACGACTAAAACAATATTTCAGATGACTAAAACAATATTTCAGATGACTAAAACAATATTTCAGATGACTAAAACAATATTTCAGATGACTAAAACAATATTGCAGATGACTAAAACAATATTTCAGACGACTAAAACAATATTTCAGATGACTAAAACAATA